GATTGTAACACTTAAGAAGCAAGCAAATCACCAACATCCCTCCCCCTTGTATTGTGATGTTATTTATGGACGACGCCTTATTGAGATAGTATGATTTGTTGAAATTTTTCTTATTCACTATTAAAGTGTAAAAAACAATTAATAGTCAATTTTACCCAGCATATGAATCATAAAAAAGCTGCAAATGTGATACATCTTTTGGTAAAATGTAGTCAAAATAGTGCTCCAGCATGCTTGTTACATTATCTGCTCCATTTTTACCGTAAGTTTCATTTTAACAAAATAAGTCACTATTTGATCCTAAGCAGTGTATGTTAAACATAGAAAGCTGTCTACAATAATAAATATTGTTTGTAGAAACATTAGGACAACTCATATTTTTAGCAAAAACAAATGCAAGAGCTGCATGCCAGTTTTTGCATTACAACGCATGGCATAGAACATCTCTGTTTTCTGCAAGTAAAGCTCTTTTTCTTGATAACACTTGATGAGTCGTTCTACACAGGTGCTTTGGTTTTTAAGTATAATATTTAGCTTGTCGCATGTTGAACATGTATCTTTACTAGGATAACCAAAGCTTATATTAAATTTTTCTACAAATATTTTCCTAGTAAAAAAAAAAAAGTGGTAAATAAAATAATATCGAATAATATTCTTAAATAATCACACATTAAAGTACCTTAAGCTTTCTTAAAAAACTTTATTTTGTGGAAAGCACAGAAGAAACTCCTTAAAAACAGACAATTCTTTTAATTTATACAATATAGTTACACTCCTCCTTGACCCTTAAGAGTCAAAGGGGAGTGTGATTATATTATGTAAAAAGCTAGAATATTCGTTGATGTCATGTGATTCATAATTTAAGTAGTTTTTCATTTAATAATTGTTCTTAATGTTGTACAATTTAAATGTAATAATTAATTTAATAATTTTATTTATTTATTTTGTTTAAATAGTTGTTTTTGATAGTAATATAAAGTAGAAGTCAGTAGATTTTGTAAATAAATTGTCTGTAGAATTTGTAAGAGAGGTTTGTAAAGAGGTTTTCATTAAGTAAAGAAAAGAAAAACATCTTGAGTAAAGAAAAAAAAAACATCTATGCGAGAAAAATCACACAGAATGGTAACTAAGAAACTAACGGAATTGAACATTAGCTGTACAAATTGTATGATTTATTTATTTTTTTATGATTTAGTCTTTTTTTAGGTTCATCTCCAAAATATTGAGCTTCTTACATCATTTTCTAATCGCTATTTGCCTTCAAAAATGCAAGGTCTCTATTTGCGTGCTATTAAAGAATTGCTTGAAGAAGCTGCTAGGCGTTGTTGCAAGACTGACCTTCCAGATGATGAAAAACGGCTTGGTGTTCTTGTAGACTGGGCTTTAAATGGTTTTCAACCATATGGTTTTGATAAACTATCAATCGAAGAGACATTGACATTGGAAGGTTCTTTAATTGTTTATATAATTTGTTAAATATTTGTAAATTTTAAATTACAAATTTATAGCTTTTTAATGGGAAAAAAATAAATAAATAACCAAATATAAATAATGAATAAATAAACAATATAAATAAAGAAATATAGTGTAATAAAAAAATAATATCAATAAACAATATTTATTAAACAAATATGTAATTGTAAAAATATGTGAAAAATATTTATTAAACATATAATATGTAATAAATAATTAGTTTGATCAAAAAATAAATATATAATGCAGCCCTCAGAATTAAGGTGAGCATTCGGCAATGCCGACCTAACTGTTGACCTTAAAGTGTTTAAAGTTAGTAAAAAATCGCTGACCTCATTTCTATATTCTACAGTAACCCCTTTGCATCAAATTTTTTTCGCCGACCTCATCTTTCCTAATTTTAACGGCTGATAATGTATAATTAATATATAACAAATATATTATATGTAAATAGTATGTAATAATTAGTAATTTGTAATAATACTGTTTTTTATTTATACTTTAATTGAAATATTTTTATTAAAATTTATATTTTAATTAAAATATTTTTTATAGACGATGCGTTTATACAAGAAGGTAGTGAGACAGATAGTTTAACACACAATGAAGGAGAACCTCTTCCATCTCCTATTTTATCTGAGGATGTAAAAGCCCTTTTTGACAAAGCAGCAAATGGAAATATGGATTTAAATAGTATTATATATATAAATTTATATATTTTTTTGTCATTATTTTTATCAATTCATGTATAATTCTCAATAGCATATCTGCCATAGGTTCTACCTTTTAAACTTAAACTTTTTTTTTTTTTTTTACATCTTTGGTTCCAACAAGACTGCAAGCAACCACTATAAGTGTTGGAAGTTACTGTAAGAGAAAAGATGAAGTTTGTAAAGCTAGATAATGTTTGACAGATGACTTAAAATATAGCAAATTATATGAATCAGGAAAGCTAGATGAAGGAAGCGATTTCCAAAGAACTGATGTTTGAGGAAAAAAACTAGGGGAATTGGAGTTTTTGGAGTACTTATAAACAGTCACAGTAAAAGGATGATACTAGCTCTTTAGAGCAGTGCCCATTATAGTATTTGTAGAAAAGAGAAAGAGAAGCAACATTACAATAATGAATAATGTGATAATGGTTAGAGGTTGGCTACAAAAGCAGGTCCAACTATGTTTACAATGGAAGATCTAAATTATTGCAATGACAATTGGCTGAATAAAATCAAATTTTATCTGAATTAAAGTTCACCAGCCACTGTGAGCCCCACGCTGTAGCAGAAGTGAGATCCTTTTCAAGCTCAAATGCACCCTCAAGCAATCAGAGAGAGCTGGCTTCTTATCATGACAAGAATAAATAGTAGCATCATCAGCGAACAATGCCACCATAGATGAAAAAATATTTGGAAGATTGTTAATGTAAATTAAAAAGAGTATAGGGCCAAGGATTGAACCTTGAAAAACCCCTGAAGTGACAGGATATGAAGAAGAGTACTGTTCATCGAGGATTTATACTATGATTGGAAAAGAAGGACTCAATAATCTTAAAGGTGTTACCAGATAAACCGTAAGAAGAAAGCTTATGGAGAAGACCAGAATGCTAAACTTTATCAAAAGCTTTAGAAATGTCAAGAGCGATAACCTAAACCTCTCCACCTCTTTCTAATACACAATAAAACCTATTGGTTGTTACTGTTAGCAAATCAGCTGTAGAACAAAAAGATTAAAATCGATATTGATGATCAGAAAGTTATTAGATTCAAGATGAGAAATTAAGTGTTTGTTAATTAAAGGTTCAAAAATCTTGCTTATGATAGAAAGAAGACTAATGGGACAATAGTTAGGCGAGTCAGATCGCTCGCTCTTCAGAATTTTTGAAAAGTGGGATAACAGCATGCTGAAAAATGAAGCACTTGTTAAATGATTTTGAAAGTATAGACGGCAGCTCTAAACAAAGTATGGATGACAGCTTCAGAGAACACATCTGGAAGACTACAACAGGTATGTTGTCTGGACCACAATCTGTAGAAGAGTCTTAGCAGAAAATCACTTTAGATACAGAAGCTGGAGTGATGCAAATGTCAAGCAATGGATCAATGTGTTTGACGCTATATCTGGTAGAAGACAACTAGTGAATTCAAGAGATGATATTGATGAAAAGTTTTCAGCAAATAATCCGGCTTTGTCTTTAGGTGAGGTTACATCGTCTGAACCGTACAAGAGAGGTGGAGTAACAGATTTGTCCTTATTATTGATACTTTTAAAGATTCTCTAGAAGTCATGAGAGACTAAATTTTGTGTTGAAATATGAGATTTCATGACCTAAGAATAGCGAGCTTTGGTGTTAGATAAAATCTTTTTACAATGGTTTCTAGCAATAATAAACAGACGTCTGTTTTCTGGAGAATTGTTTTGGTTGTAGGTATGAAAATAATAGTTTCAAATAGAAATTACAGCAGCTTGACCTGTAATTGTCAAAAGGAAATAAAAGATTCCATGCCTGCCTGAATCTATGAAGTTATGTAAGAAGCACATTTGTCAGCCAGAACTGTCAGGAGCACAGGAAAACAGAACATTTCTACCTAAGGGCCATCATGAAACAAATCACAGAATGATTCCCAGTCAGCTTTAAGGTAGTTCTAAGTAGTACGATGATAGAGGGATTCTGATGATGAAGAAGAATGAGATAATAGTTTTAAAGAGATCAAACTGTGATCAGAAGCACCCAAGAGTGAATGTGGAGAAACTAAGCACTGTCTAGGATCAGAAACAAGACATTAGTCAAGTAGCGAAGGTAAATGATTTGGATTGTCTGGAAAGCAAGTTGGAAAGTTGACTATTTGAGTTAGAGAAAGGCAAAAGTTGAGGGCCTTAACGCCAGCAGAGTCACTGACACTAGAGCCAAGCCATTTATTGTGATGATCATTAAAGTCTCAACAAATAACAACAATATTGGCTGATGGATAGAAAGAGCAATATAGAGCAAAGAGAAAGACGATAGAGTGAAGTGGTGCTAAACGAAAGCACAAAAAAGAATAGTCGGTGTATTCAAACCTAGTTTCCCAACAAATGGGTGAATTTTAACAAATATAAGTGCCCAGGCCAAGCATGTGATTATTGGAGTCTTAATGAATTAAAGGAAGATAACCATCAACACTAAGATCACTAGATGAGACAGCTGAACTCAAATTAGTCTCACAAAGGGCAAGTAGGTCGGTGAACCTTGCAAGAGATAAAACTCAACAGAAGAAAAGTTACTTAAAAGACCACGAATATTAGTGAATGATAGCTTTAGAGAACTTTGTGATGACAATGAGAACTTTGTGATGATGATGGTTTTTTGTGTTTTATAGTTTTTCGATATTTTAGTCATTTTAAATTTTTTAAAGAACTTGACTTAAAGCATAGATAGTGCTCAGTACACTATTTAATAGTGTACTGAGCACTATCGCAATTGCCTGTTAATAAGCCTCAATCATAACAAAGGGTTCCAAATGTGGCATCATTAATGCACACCAAAAGTGTGAACAGGGACATCATCTATGTCAACATGGCACTTGCGCATAGATGGCACATACTACTCTGATATTTTATAGCTGTTGATGGAATCATCCTCTCTGAGAGCTACCATATAGTTGGGGAAACGTGATTACCAGGCGGCCTCAGAACCATAAAACAGAGTTTTAGAGCTGTACCCTAATTAGGAGATAAAAGAATGAGTTTCCTAGTCATAAAAACAGACACAAGGAAAACCCATGCTATAAGTCAAGAAGATCCAGCATTCAACATCCTAAACTGGAAATAATATATTATAAATACATCTTCACCAGCCAAATAGATGAAAAAGGGGTGAGAGGCATTTTAAAGCATAAAACTCTGAAGAAATAAGTTATAGAAAGTTCTAGCAGGAATGTAATAAAGATTTTTTTAATGCTTTAGGCTTAAACAAAAGTGAAAAATGTCAAGGTAACAAAGGGTTACCTCAGAATTTTTGTTTTTTAACTTATTTAATAAACTATAGTATAACATATTAATATATATGCATGCTTTGAGCAAAAAGATAAAATGTGTTAAGCTAACAAACATACAAATATTTTTGTGACAGCTGTTATTAACTATCTTTCTAACAAATTAAGACATGCTGATCTTATTTAATCAAACACATTTACAACATAAATGTGTATAATAATTATTTATATATTATTTTTATTTACATATTTCATTTTGCATATTTACATATTTAATTTTTATCTATTTATTTTTCAAAATGTAAAATGTTTTTTGTTTGTTTGTTTGTTTTAGAAATATGTTTAGGTTGTGGAGATTTAAAGTGCATAATGGAACACCCTTTGTTCATAGGTGGACTATGTAAAGAGTGCAAGGTATTTTCTGATATTTTTATAATATATGTTAAGAAGATTGTCAAATGGTTACTAAGTAAAATTTTAACTGTTAAAATATACGTTTTCGGTTAATAATTAAACTGATGTAATTTAACTGAGTAACAGTATTCATGTTATCTTCAAGAGCGTTTAAAATTGTGAAATTTTAAAATTGTTAAAATTGTTGATTTTTTACTACAAGAAAAGTCTTGAAATATGTTTCCAATAAAGGCGCCTTCTTAGTTTTGTATGATGTTCGATTTCCATATTTTATGGTAATCAAGTGAATGAACTTTTAAACAGGATGTATTTTTTTGTGATTGAAGAAACTTTTGCTAAATTTTTTGTTTGTTTAATTTTAGTCATTTATTCACTTTATTATTATTATAATATTTTTAATGTTCTTTTAAATTAAAAAGTTACACTATGCACATTTTTATCAGAGTAAAGAAAAGATAAAGAAAGAAAAAATCAAAAATCATAAACAAAAACTTAAAAACAAACAAATTAACAAAAAGAAAAAAAAAGAAATGAGACAAAAAAAAAAGAAAGCCAAAAAACCAAAGTTAAAAGAAAAAAACATTCGAAAATGGAAAGTAAATAAAAAGAATTAAATATAAAAATTGCTCTATTTTTGAAGAAAAGAAAAAGAAAATTTTTTAAATTTTAATTAATTTTAAGGGACGATATGTGTTAGATAGGTATTACAATATGATTTCCTTATTTATTTGAACATTTTCATTTTATTATGAAAACTCTGTTTTTTTCCTGACTAAATGTTTGTGAGACAAGTTTTTATTTGTGAGTGTTATTAAAAAAAATTTTTTGTTTATTATCTTTTAATAAAATATTTATATTACTTTCATCGTTTTTATTATTGATATTAGGACTATTATATTTATTAAATTATTGTTACTTTTTTTTGCAGTAATTGTTTTAGTTACATGGTAGGTTATTACGTTTTGTCAGTATATAACTGTTTGTATCTTTCCTCTCTGTGCATAATATTCAATTGTTTTAAAATAATATTGATTTACTATTATATGATTTTCTTCTTATTCTTATAATTGTTAATTTATCATCATTATTATTATCATTATTATTTATATTATTAATACTATTTCATGGTATTTACTAAAGATTAATTTTTAACATTAGTTAAAAATTGACCAATATATTTCAATAAATGACCTCAATTGTAAGGTCTTTTATTGAAATATATTGATTGATTATTACACTTAGGAATCTACTAAGCTGCAAACCTTTTTAATTTTATGAAATTTTAGGAATCGTTTATGGAAACAGCATACCTTTATGATGAAGATGGGTCACAGATGTATTGTTCAATTTGTAGTGATGGAAGAGAGATCATTCTGTGTGATGTTCCTGGTTGTTACCGGTATGTAAATGTTGTATTGGTTGACTTTTTTGTAATAATAAAAATAATTTTATTGTTATGCTTTATAGATCATACTGTTCGGTCTGCCTTGATATGTTCTGTGGTGTTGGATATTCTAGAACTGTTTCAGCTGGTTTAGATTGGCATTGTTTTATGTGTACTGGAGAAAAAGTACGTCTTATCCAGAGGCGAGATGATTGGCAACAAAGATTGAAAAATGTTTTTTCAGTTAACAATGAAGGATATGTATGTTTAATAGTTTGAATAGAATAGTTATTTCTTTTTCAGGTTTAGTAATTTCAGTTAATTATTTATTTAAAATTAGTTAGTAATTTCAGTTAATTATTTTATAAAAAAAAAAGTTTTTATAAAAATTTTTGTGTACAACTTTTTTTTTAATGCTGGATAATTTGCAAGATATTATGATGAGATGGAGTCTTATTGGTGAATCCAAATAAGATTTAAAAAATGGAATGGGAATGGAGTTAAAAATTCTGTTTTTTTTCATTATAGTTTAAACTTCTAAGGCATATATATATATATATATATATATATATATATATATATATATATATATATATATATATATATATATATATATATATATATATATATATATATATATATACATATATATATATATATATATATATATATATATATATATATATATATATATATATATATATATATATATATATATATAGGCTTTGGCAGGAATGATGGGCTATAGCCCCTGCGCGCCTCCACACCTGTGCAAATCAGTTTACACAGGCAAAGTAAAGCCCATGGAAAATATAAATTTTTGATAAAAATAAAGTTAAATATTTTTATGTTTTTATTTAGTTATTCTCTTAAAAACTTCTCAAATGATGTAATTTTGTAAAACTTTGTTTTACTAGTTAAAAAAAAACGAAACTATTTCATTCAGGATATGCTAAAAAAAACTATGAAATTTTTTTTGTGTGAATATTCTGATGTAAAAATAAAAAATCAAAATCGAACAAGTTATTTCAAACATAATTGTTCCTATCATTCTGTTTTATGTTAAAAGATAAATAATAAGTATGTTAAATTATGCATGTGTTGCAAAAGAATTAAACATAATAGTCTGAGTTTTAAGTATTACTTGGAAATTTGTAAAATTATACAATAAATGACCAAAAAGACGACATTGATTACGATAATTTAAGCAGTGAAAGTGAGTGAGAAACACCTGAATCAAGTGAAAGAAACTGCGTTTCTTTACTTTCATTCGATTCAGGTGTTTCTCATTCACTTTTTTGAAATTGAAGATATTTGGGGCTAATTTATTTTAAAATTGAAGATATTTTGGGCTAGTTTATTTAAAATGAATATTGATAAATAATTTAAAACTATATATATTCCTTTTGTATGCTAAAAATAATACAATATGATTTCTTCATATTTTATTTTCGTTTTTATACTTGCGCTATATTTAATACATTTAAATATATTTTACAGCAATAAACCTGATATAGAAAAATAATACTGCTTTTAATACCCTCCTATTTGTTCTATTCATAAAAAAATGTAAAAAAGATTTGTTTTTTTTTTAATTCATATAACGCTTTTTTCTTATAAATGTCTATATTATATAAGAATATATCTAAAAAGTTTATATACTAGAATATTAAAAATCTATTTGTACTAAGTCTCTTAGAAATTAAAAGTTAGATTAACTCAAATTTTAGCTTACATATCACATTAACATAACATATTTTCTCCTTATTTCCGAAAAGAATATAAAATCAATTAACAGTTCATAAAAGAGTATGATAGTAAATTGAACGGAAACAATACTAATAATTAAAATTTTAGTCTAAACAGTTGAAAAACAATTGTAAAATAATAGAACTCTTTGGTTCAATGTTTGTTTAAAAAAAGGTATTTTTTTTTTTTACATTTAACCCTTAATTACATAGTTTTTTCTTAAAAGGTATAAGAAAATAAAAATTATTTGTGTATCTTGATTTTAAAAGGGACCCAAGACCTTTAGACATAGCAGGGGCCCTGGGGGAAAAACCCTCTTCTCTAGTTTGATCCTGACTATATCTTTATAGCTTAGAGATGTCACGGTTGAATTTTTAAAACTTACAAAACTTACTTTTTAAAACTTTACAAGGCGCAAGAAAAATGAATCAAGTAAAGAAGTGCAATAAAAAATGTTATATTTTATTCCATTATTTTAATAAGACAACATATTAATTTTGATAAGACAACATTAATATTCAAATAGATCTTGCAAAATTGCAACATTCATTGTGAAATTTTTTAAGCAAACGTCAAGATGCTTGAATAAAGAAACAAGGGAGAGAACAAATTTGTGCATCAAACGCCTCATACTTTCAAAAATTGATCTGTCCCTCTTTTTAAAACTTTCTATTGGTTCTCACAAGACACTGTTAAATTTTTTAAAAATTGAATGAGATTTAGAGGGGCCACGTGGCCAAGTTTCAGACTTAATAATATTATTTTCTTGTTAATTATATTAACATTAATATTAACATAATTAACAAGAAAAAGAAGGTTGCGAAGGTTGTTTTTCTGCCATTTTTTGCGTTGCTTGCAAATCATTGGTTTGACAATATCTGGAATAACCTCAACAAAAATCCAATTATACAACTGATAAAACTAAATAAAAATCGAGAAACAAAACCAAAACAAAAACATAATAACAAAAACTCACTAAGTAGAGCGCACACCAATAACTCTGAGCAAAAGATAAAAACTGTAGTGTAACTTTGAAAAACTATTATCTCAACTTCACACGTATCTAACTATTTGCAGTTTAATTACGAAAGTTTTTTTAAATGATTTGTTCTACTTATTAATAAAACGATAGTATAAATTTTTATATACAATAACATTTTCAATCACAAAGAAGAAAAATGAATGAATTTTTATAATAATATAATTGAGATCATTTGTTTTTATAATACAACAATATGATGTATAACAGTTTTTCTAATTCTGTTGTTTTATTTAGAAAGATTGATTATATACATTTTAATATTGTTTTTTATTTTTTATTTAATTAAAAACTGAATTATTAAATAAAAATTAAATATAAAAAATTAATTAAAAAAAGTCGTTTTTCTGTCTATCGCTAAAAAACTTTTAACATTACAATTAAAATTTTTACTATACTTGGCAAGAAGAATCAACAAAAAACAATTTCAGAATAAAAAAAATTTCATCAAACCATAATAATTTAATTTTTCAAAAAAGCCCGTGCTAGACTATCAAGGCGAGCGGCCAGTGTAGTCTAAGTAGACATGTTTAGACGGGCACTATATATATATATATATATATATATATATATATATATATATATATATATATATATATATATATATATATATATATATATATATATATATATATATATATATATATATATCATATTTATGTAAGCTTTTAATCACTTTTTTTGCTTATCTAAATCGATACAGCTTTTTTAAAAAAAGTAGAAAAAAAAAAAAAATAGATGAAAAGATTGCTGTCCCATGTCTAACCCTTAGTCGATGTAACAGCACTCTGCTGTGAGTCAGGCTATTTGTCAGTTGATGTATGTACTAAAATATAATGTAAACCAATATAAAAAGTAAAGGGTATGCGAAGCAAAATAGCAACAAAATTAATCTAAAAAGTTTCTATTTCTTAAAAATGATTTATTTAATTGTACAACTTTTATTTAAAAATTTAGCACTAGAGGCATTTCATAGTTTTATCAGTAGTGCTAATACTGAAAATTTTTTTCTATAAGATGGGTTTTATGTTGCTAAGAGTTACCATTGTTTTGTGTCTTTTTAAATAGGATGTGTTAATTAAAGGTATCATGTTTTTGTTAGTGTAAATGATTTTCATAAGATAATATTTTATTTTTATTTTTAAATTCTGGAAAAACAAAAAACTGGAAAAAAGGTTCCATAGTTATTACATTTTTTCTTTGGCAATCACAAACACAGTTGTCAAATATGTCAGTTGACAGATTCAACAACTGTGAAAATAGATCACATTTTTGGTACTATATATATTTAGGGTAATATGGTTTCTCATCTTCCAAGTAGTGTCATTAGATGTTACAAAGCTTTCTACTTCTTATAAATATAACATGCAAATTTTGCATCAAATTTTAACAATTATGCAGATTGAAATTTGGCAGAAGTTGTCTTAATAAGTTTGGTGGTTGTTTGTAAGCTATGACTGGATGTATATTTGAAAAAACCTTTCATTAGATGATAAACTGAATAAAAGGTTTGTTTTATTTAAAATAGGTTAACAGTTTAGGTTGCTATAAAATGTTGTAACTAAAGCAAAAATTTGTTATGGATTTTTTTAGGCTGCTGGCTCTTGTAGTTTTGGATTGTGAAAAGCTTTTTCTATTAATTTTTTGAGATAATTACATTCTTTCAGCCATAAATTTAGTTCATGATTATGCCACTGAAAAGCAACATCTAAATGTTGCTTTTCAGTGGCATAATCAGGTGTAAAAATAATTATTCTTTTTGCAAGATTGTATAGAATGTTCTTTTTAATGCGATCAGGGTAATAGCTGCTGTTGTTTAGGTAGCCATGGGTGTTTGTTTTTTTATAGAATATGTTGGTTGTGATACATTGCTTTTAAAAATAAAAAAAATATTTTTTTAACATCTTCGCTTCCAACAATGCTACAAGCAACCACTATTAGAATTGGAAGTTACTGGACGAGAAAAAATGAAATTAATAGGGCAGTATAATGATTAACAGACGACTTAAAAGATTGCATTATGAATTAGGAAAACAGATAAAGGAAGCAAATTCCAAAAAACTGATGATCAAGGAAAAAAATTGATGAATAAGATGAATATGGCTAACTATATCTTGTCTAATAGGGAAAGGTCATCATTGGAAGATCCGCCCCAGATATGGCAACAATGTTCCATACAAGGACAGATTTAAAACTTTTATAGAAATATAGAATAGAGTCTTGATTAAGATAGCGGCAAGCACAATAAAGAGATGCAACCTAAGCAGGTGGTAATTTTGCAATTAGTTTGATATATGGTTTCCAAGAAAGATTAGAAGTAAGATTTAATCCTAGAAGATGAAGGGAAGATGACTCATTAAGTACAATACCATTCATAAATATAGGAAGATCTAGATTATTATAATAATGATTAGCTGAAAACGAGTGTTATCCGGGCTAAAGTTCACCAGCCACTGAGAGTCCCATGCTGTAA